ATCTTAATTTTACAAACACAATATTTTAGTATTTCAAAACTACTTAATTTCGAAACTATAAATGTATGTGTTTGAAAATGTATTAAGTTCATAAGTATAATAAAACTATATATTTTCAATCTGAAAGTTACAATACATATTTTTCATATTATAATTTATATTATCAAAATATCATATAGTTTTAATTTTATAAATACAACTTCAAACAGTGATAAATTGTACATTATCAACTATGATTCAAAACTCATGTACATAATATAATTTTCTCAAAATCAATAAAATTGTACATCAAAGTTTATAAAAATATCATCAAATCATAAACTGAACATAAAACATCAAAATAAATATAAATAACTCCGCACACAATGCGGGTTAGAATCTAGTAGTATTTAAAAGAAGGGGTATCTCAAATGTTAAAATACTAATCCAAAAGTATCAAAGATGAGATAGTATGAGTCACTTTTAGATGAGTATCTCACCATTTGAAATACCTATTCTTTTAAATACTATACCTTTTTTTGAATTTTGTAAAGAAATTAAAGTTATACCAAAAATAAAATTTGGTAATACTTGAACGTGTTCCAAAAAGATTTATATATCCTTGAACTTTTAAAAAAATTCAAATTTTCTGAAGCTAAAACTTGTGTAAAGCTTTGATTAAATTTCACTTTTGTGTAATTTTAGGTTTCCTATATGAATGTATTGATTGAGGTTGTATATTGTTATAAGACTGTCATAATATCAATATTTTTATTTTCCAAAATAAAACATATATACGAAAATATCACTTGATTCTTGTGTTATATAAAGATCGTTTATATAACTTATTAAAGTCATTAACTTGTTTTAGTTCTTTTACTACAGCAAATATTAACATTTTCAAATAAAAGTACATTTTAGCAAGGTATTTAGGAACACGCTGACTCAAAATTTTCAAAAACAGTTGAAATTTCTAAATAAAAAACGAATCAACATTTTACCAAGTAGACGTAAAATGTCAATTTTTAAAATAAATCCAAGACTGTAAAGCATCTGGCTATAATAAATGTGGCCAACTCGAGCTCAAAGGTTCCTCATGGTCTGTGACTAAGTCGATCCCAAAGATCTTTCGTATATGCGACCAACTCGATCCCAAATGTCTCTCATGGCCCTAAGCAACACTACATCAAATGTATGTATGGCTTGAAGCCAATAACTTTTTTGTCAACCTCTTTTACAAAAGCCTCATGAATTCAAACGGAGTACAATAATGACATTAATGCCTAACACATGAATAAACACAAAAGATGATACAAGTTTATAACATATGTAAGGTACTTGATGAGATCTTGCAACATGGCATAAACTTGATGCTATGAAGAACACTGAACTTCGCCACCGCTCTTGACCCAACCACCTTTGACTTCTTCACCAGAGAAAAAGTACCGCCAGTAAGGTTCTTCATCAAGAGCCGCGGCAGCACCTTGATTTTCCAAGACTTGTACTCCCAAATGAAATCCTCTCGCTTTAAACCGACACTAAATAACCAGAGGAACCATGTTTCACCGATCCTTAATCCTGAGGAAGCTTAAGTCGGTTGAAGATTCTCTGACGGACTGTTTGAAATGCCATCTCTGCTGAATCCCCTTCAAAAAGACCAAGAAATCCAAAAAACTTGCCCTTTTTTCATTAGAGAAGCTTTACCTTAAGCCAAAGATGGCTGAATCTAAAGATGACAAACACTGATTCTTCTTTAAACAAAGGTTAAGTTGATTCAGAGAAACACAATATCTAATCAAGAGTCATCGGGATTAGAGTGACGTATCTCGAAATGTTGAAACTTGAAAACCATATTATCGCATAGCAAAGAGGAGTCCAACTACACAAAATGTTACAATCTATCAAACTATATTATACAAAACAAAAAAGGGTCGATGAACAGCGGCATAAAGCCACCGGCCACCGCAAACGAGTAAGTCACAACAGGGAGAACTATGGCCAACACTCTCTGCTGACGGTTTGGTGGTGCTGGAAATGGAGGTGTGGTTATGTATTTGGTGAGAAGGGAACATGTAGAGATAGGGTGCAGTTCCTTAAGGACGAAGCTCAGGAAGTGATAAGAGCAAATATAAAACTCAGGGAATACGGGCCGGTTCGGGAGCGTGTGGCGAAGCAAATCTTATGGCATAGATTCGCAACTGGCTGGTTCAAAATGAACACTGATGGAGCATCCAGAGGAAACCTGGGACTCGCAACCGCGGGTGGGGTGTTGCGAGATGAGAACGGAATGTGGCATGGAGGTTTCGCACTGAATATTGGTATCTGCTCGGCCCCTTTGGCGGAACTGTTATAGCATGAGATCGTGGTATTCGTCAGTTGGAGTTGGAGGTTGATTCGGAGTGTGTGGTGGGGGTTTTCCAGACAGGGATCCATGATTCTCATCCCCTGTCATTCCTAGTACGCATGTGCTATGGCTTTTTATCAAGAGACTGCTTAGTCAAGATTGCTCACGTGTACAGAGAGGCTAATTATCTAGCAGATGGGTTAGCTAACTATGCTTTTTTCTACCTTTTGGTTTACATTTTTTTTTGATTCTGTCCCAAAGAGTGTTGTTTCCATTTCTTCGGAGAATTTTCATGAGGTCTAGCCTTGTAATTCAGTTTTGTTATGAATAAAAGGTAGGGGACTCATGTCTCTTGCCTTCTACTAAAAAAAAGTTGAAAACTTGGGTTTTATATCCGCAAGTTTCTCTTAGTTTTATTCGTTGCCGGGTGGATGCACATCAGCACATGGATCAGATTGATCTATTTTAAACTATGAATACATCCATAAATTTTTTTTTAAATTGTAATTTAAAAAAAATAAATTCATTATCTTAAATAAAAGATAAAAAAATATATTAGTTTATTATAAAATATATTATATTTGTATATAAATATTTACTATATAATAGATATAATTATTTTTTAATTTGAGAAAATTATCTACGGATACTACACTTTATCCATAAATCTCCTAGACATTATTTGAGAAATAATTTTTCAAATTTTGATTATTCGCCATTTCCCCAATCACTTTTCTTAAAAAATAAATAAAATGGCACTCTAACAACTATGAAATGGCTTGTGGAATTGTTTAGATAATTTTAAAATATGATAATAATTTGTACATCGTCATTGAGGTAAATATATCTAAACATATTATTAAATAAAAATAATAATAGAAATATAAAATATATAATATAATTTTATCATATTTTATATAAAAAAAATTAAATTCTTTAGAAATACTATTAGTTTTCTTTTGATATCTACAAATTTTAGAAATACTACTTATTTTCAATTTTAATAATTATAGAAAAACATATATCAAAATTTTGTTTTTCAATTTTTTAACAAGTTGATTTAATAATTTTTTAACCAAAATAGATAAATATTTATGTAATACTATAGTTTTAAGCATATATCTATTAGTAATACAACTTAAAAATGAAGAAAAATTGTTTATTATCTTAATTTTATGTGTAATTAAATTATAACTTAAATTAAAATACTGGTAAGAAAATAATAAATTTAAAAATCTTAACAAATTTTATTTTTAAATATAATTTGCAATTGAAGTAGTCTTTTGCTTCACATGGTGCATGACCTAGTTGCGAGTTTTGTGAATCAAATTTTTTAATCATAAAGAGTGATCACGAGAAGATCTGACCCGCTTTCAACACTGGTTGCGAGGCCTGTACCTCGAGGCTGGCTTAGGTCGCGAGCTCGCTGGGAACTGGGCCTGAATCTGCGCCAACACCAGAGCCTAACAACTGGTGAATGAGAGTTCAAGTCTGACAGTGAGATAGGTGAGTAACAATCTAAATCTCACACAAGGTCGTATCTATAACAAGCAAAACAAAAGAATGACTTTGACCCAAAAAAAAAAAGAGAAAAAAAAGAATGACAAATGCCTTGATTGGTACGGCAGATGATAAAGCAGTAGCAGTATGCTGTAGAAGCAGTATGCTACAGAAGCTGTATGCTTTCAGTAAAGTTTTTAATAAAGTGATTGGCAGAGCATTAGCAGTATACAATTTTAAAATTGTCATAATAATTAGTAAAATAATACATTACTTTAAAATAATATATATAATATATATTTATAATGTATAATTTTATTAAAAATAATGAATTTTCATTATATAATTATATTTAAAATTTAAAGTTTTTTAAAAATATTAAATTATTTTTGGATATAACATATTACTCATATATAAAATTATAGTTATAATTTAATTAATTATTATTAAATTAAAATAATTATTAAATAAATTAATTAATTATATTTTATATATAAATTAATTATAATTTATATATAAATTATTATTATTTATTTATTGGTAGAGCACTAAATTACTCATATATAAAATTATCATAAAAGTTAATATATAATTTATTTATTAGTGTCTAAATAATATTTATATCGATAATATATAAATTATATTATGTTTGTTATTAAAAATAAGGAATGATATATGTAATTATATAAATTATATTATATTTTAAATGTGAAATATTGTTCTTTTAAAAAAAATAATTATAATTATAATTTTTATTTTTTAGATATATAAATTTATATTTAATTATAAAAATATTATTTATATTTTTAAACAAAAATAAATAAATTATATATAAATATTATTAAGTTTTATATTTTCTATATGCAAATGCTCTTCCAAAAATTCTATACCAAAGCATTGAACAAATAGCATTTGGAGAGCATTTGCATTTGGTAAATGTTTTTCTAAATGCTTCTTTGCCCAATATTGATTGGATAATAGAGAACACAATGCTTATGTTAATATTCTACCAATCAACCCCAAAGTAGCGAAGAGGAATTTCAGGAGACTTAAACTACCAAACTTTCGACAAGATTCAACAACTTCCGCAACCATGTTTTGCAGCTAATTAAAGAAAGACCCAACCAACGACATCAATAGTCTTAAGTAAATCATCATACAATAAGTACGATTTTTTCACGACAGAATAGTCGGCACATTCAACTCTAACCCCCGACCCAAAAAACCAAAAGTCTTGCTAAGATTTAGAAAAAAGATCTATAATATAAGAGTCAAAAGGAAAACCACAAAGGCGGGTAGATAAAAAGCAGCTTCCTTTTGATATTCGTCATCATCATATCATCATCCCACCTGCACCTTCTTCACGGTCTCTCATGCTTCCAGGAATCTCCTTCATCAACTTTGGCTGAAGTCAAACAAACCATCTCTCGTCTCGTTAGTTTAACTCAATGATTTCCCTTTTGATTATAAAAAGAAATCTCCACTACTAATAACCTGGTTTTCAAGAGCTGTTAAGGTGGACCTAAGCAGATCATCTCCTACAATCCCCCGCAGTTTCCTCACAAACTCTGCTCGCGTCATCTTTTTTTCCTGCAAAACACTTATAAATTTCAGCTCTCATGCAATTCTCAAAATCTATATAGCAAACACTCTCAGATCAATTTTTACCTTCAGTTGTTGGTAGTCAGCATTGATTAAAGCCATGTCTTTCTCGGCAACCTTATGTGAGATTGCTGCAAACACAGTAGGAAGAGGCATCCGTGGAGAGTTTGGTTTTGTCATGCTCGAACCAACACTGTTTGCACTCCCGCTCCCTGGACCTCCTTCAGGTCCACCCTGTATTTATACAAACAGACCAAAGTATAGTGAGTTCAATCCCTTTGACAGCATAACAGAAAAAGAAAAGAAAAAAAAACAAACTCACGTTGGACACCAACTGCGGAGGAACATCCTTTGGTCCTTCCAATGTGATACCTGAGTTATCATTCCTAGCAACCAAATTACCTGCAGAAACCAGTGTATGTCATCGATTTCTTATACATCACAAAACAGAATGTGATGGAACGTAATACCCATTACGCCCGTGAGTATCTCCATCCGACCCCCGGATGATGAAAATCAGAGACTTGTCTCTTGAAAACCAAAATGTGTTCAAATAACACCGGAGGTCGTTAGGTTTTAACACACAACGGATTTCTTTATTTTTCTTTCTCAAATTATCAGTTGAGACCTGAGCTTCAGTCAGATCTCTAAGCTGTCTCCCTTTCAATGCGTCATCAGTTATGATTTTAATTTGTGGAAAAAGATTTCATGAAAAGATAACAAACTAATCACCTTCAGCATTTGGGGGAACAGACAGCTTGAACCTAACAACAAATTCCGGGAATACATGGGTGTTCATATTGATGTTCCACACAATGTAGTTCTTTGGATTCTCGAGATCATCCACTCCATTGTCATATTCTTCTCCACCAGAGAAGAACTGAGCTTTGTCACCACGAAGAAGCTCCATGTTCCCCATTATTACACGGCATAAAACCATGTACCGTACTCCATTTTCGTCAATATCACAGTACCTAGCACTGAAAACAAGCTATTTAGCAATGTATATTTATTAGAGGTCGGAGCTTAGTATATATATGAGCTAAACAATCGAAAATAAAAAACTAGTATGAGGCATAATCAGGGAATAGAGGCAAGGGCAAACCTGAAATAAGGGCAGTCTGCAGCAGTTAAATGTATTCCAACACCGTAGATAGACTTTCTGATAAATGTTCCTCCAATTCCAAGTCCTTGCATCATAACCGCCGATAAAACTTCCCTCTTTGCAGGAAGCCATGCGTATCTAACGTTTGCGTCTCCTCGAAGTTTCTTAGTGATCTCAACCTGCTTCTGGAAAAGGGCAAGACGAGCTTCAGCAATCTCACTGGAAAAGCAGCTTACATCCAGCACGGCTACAGGCCCTAGAGAAGCTGTGCCTGTGGCAAACATTATTTTAACAGCATCTTNGATAAAACTTCCCTCTTTGCAGGAAGCCATGCGTATCTAACGTTTGCGTCTCCTCGAAGTTTCTTAGTGATCTCAACCTGCTTCTGGAAAAGGGCAAGACGAGCTTCAGCAATCTCACTGGAAAAGCAGCTTACATCCAGCACGGCTACAGGCCCTAGAGAAGCTGTGCCTGTGGCAAACATTATTTTAACAGCATCTTTATCAAGTCCTTCGGCTTCACTAGGCTTAAGACCAGAGACTGCAACAACAGCATCCGTCTCATCGCATTTCGAAACAGTAGCTTCAATCTTACGGCTGCAGCTATCCTCAGCTGGAACATCATCCATACTGTCACTAGATTCATCACTGCACTCCTCCAAATTCAACCTAGGTGACTTGCCACCATGAACATCAATCTCAAGGCACAACTTGATCTCATGCGGAGAATATTGTTCAGAATTTTCCACGCAGTTATGACGGCAGAAATTGTTCCTTTCATCACTGTCGTAAATTTCAGGGAAAAAACATTTGCCTCCAATGTCAATCCATGCAAGAGGAGTTTTTGCTCCTGCTTCCAAATCCAGCCTATACATGTGCAAGAAATCCAAGAGAAAATGATGACCACACCACTCAAACTCAATTGCTGCCCTCTTTTCATTTAACTCGTTACGGATGGCACAGATAACATGATCAGGCAAATCATTCCATTCACCCATTTCATAGATCATAACACGCTTTGCAATTCCCGTCTTCTTAAAGTAAGAGTAGTATCTGACCAGCGACTTCCCAGAGCGTTTCTCATAAGCACTGATCTTGTTATCACCTTCCAATTTTCTTCTTTTCTCAGGAAATTGTCTCAGCGGGTTCGGTGGGGGAACATCTTGCAGACTGGCGCACGAAACTCCATTAACATACGCAGCATAGCTTGCTCCGTGCTTCCTCTTCTTACCGAAACCATTTTCACATCTACTATCCAACCCCTTGACGATCTTGACTTCCATATCTAGCTATTAACAACGCTAAACCTATAAACTTGAAAGAAAAAGTCAACTGTAGCTCTAACTCGCTGTAAGTCCTAAAGAAAGTGCCTTGCCGACAGCATTAAAAAACACTGCATAAAAGAAATGGAAACGTCAAGAAGTTAAATAACACAATATTACAAGTTATAAGTAGGAAAATAGAGTCCAAGAAAAACTCCTCACAGTTTACATAACACAAGATCAGCATAAATTAAGGAGACTACTACCATCATGCAAAATNAACTCGCTGTAAGTCCTAAAGAAAGTGCCTTGCCGACAGCATTAAAAAACACTGCATAAAAGAAATGGAAACGTCAAGAAGTTAAATAACACAATATTACAAGTTATAAGTAGGAAAATAGAGTCCAAGAAAAACTCCTCACAGTTTACATAACACAAGATCAGCATAAATTAAGGAGACTACTACCATCATGCAAAATTCCCCCATCACAAACGAAACTTGTTACAGTTTACATCAATAGGCAAAATCATGAACAGTCTTTCTTGACTTTTTTTTCACCCGACATAAAAAAAAAAGTATAACAGAACAAACATGTTCACTTAAAAAGAGTAGAGAGATAAACGCAAAGGAAATATCAAATAGTTTAGAAGAAAAGAAATAAGTTAAATCACACTGGCGAAGAAAGAAAGGCATTAATATTTGTATGTAGACAAATAACCAAATCAATCGAAACATGCATACAAGACTAAACCAAAGTATGAGGATGAAACTCACCCAACGGTAACAGTTAAAGTCTGATAGATAGAGACAAGTGTGTTCATCGTCTTTGTCATAAAAATAAACACAATCAAAGAAGAAACGCCACCGTCTTAGTAAGTTTCTACAGCCGTCGGAAAGAAAGCTCCTGCAATACAATACAAGCCAAAACAAAACTTAGCTATGAAAGTCATGATAACACCCCCCCCCCTCCCTTCTCTGTGGATTCTTCAGAGAATCAATTAACCAAAAACAAGTCAAATCGCAGTTTCCATAGATTCTCTTTCGTGAAAAAATCAGATCGTGGACAAAACTCACACGAAGGATCAAAATCACACGAATCTAAGCCGATCTACCAGAAACAATTGAAGAAAAAACAAAATTAACCTGACGAAATGTTCAGATCGATCGCTGGGGCGAGGGTTTTCTTCGAAAGCTAAACGAGAAAATCAGGGAGGGAGAGTAGAGAAGATAGATATGCTTATTGAGGAGAAAACCCTAAGCCGGCGATGACGAATACGGAACTGTTTCGACTCATTTATATTCAGCGATTTTGAGGACGGAAAAAGAGTTAAGTCGGCGATTCCTGATTTTTCCTCCTCTCCTGACCAAAAATTTGCTTGGATGAAAAGCAAATCAAGTGGGTTTGTTAAAGTCACAGGCCGTTCACCTTATAAAAGTCAAACTCAGCATTTGATTGGTTGGTGATTTATTGATGAGTCGGTCATTAGATATAATCGAATAAATAAATCGAATAATATCATCCTCCGTAGGAAAATATAAAACCATGGGGGAATTATTTTAATTGTAGTGTAACGGGACAAAATATAAAACTATTAAAAAATAAAACAAAAGTGTGATAAGGACCATGATTAGATTGTCAATTGATGGAGATAACCATTGAATTAAAATCTCAGTATTTTAAATTGCATAGAGATCTACATTGTTTTAGTGGTCTTGCAAGTGGTTTTGTTCACTAGTTGGCATATTCTTAGATGTTTTTAAATAAGTAAATATGGAGAAAATTGAAAACATTTCAAAGATAGAAATAATAATAAAAATTAAAATAAACTTCTCGTATAAAATAAATTTGGCGGTAAAATATAGATTATAAATCTCAACACTAAACTTTATTATAATGGTTATTTGAACTTTGCCGCGTTTATTTTTTGTTATTGTTTTCATAAAGGTATATTTTTGCATAATCTTTATTAGAGAATTATGGTTACATATTTTTGAAAAGCTTTTTTTGAAAAGTTTTATTAGACAGATTTCCAATCCATATTCACATTACAGTTGATTTTCAGTAACTTCACAATACAACTACATTATTATATGACCTACGATAGTCGTCAGATTTTGTTATATTTTACATTTGATGCACACACGATATGTGATGTGTTTATATTATATATACGTTTCAAAGAAACGAGAAGTCATTATCGATAACCTTTGCTGGAAAATCATAAGCAAATGCGAAGAAATCGACAAACCCCGTCAAGAGTAATTAAATAAGTCACTTTTATTGGTGTTTTTTCATAGTTAAAAACTTCGTCTTATCCCATTCCACAATTTCTTCATTTGATTAATTGTTTCGACATATTGAATACTTAAAATAACCAAAACACATTTTGCTGCTAGAGAAAAACCAATTGGTGAAAATTTCACTACAAAAAAAAGATTAGTTTAAATCATTTATTTTAGATATTTGTATTACTTATAATGATGCAAAAACATTTTACATCATTTAAATAAATGATTTAGTTTTTGCTGATGCAAATAATTTGTATCATTTTGTTCAAAAGTGATGTAAAAAATAGCAAATATTTTCATCGATTATTGTAAGTGATGTGAATATGTGTCAATTGTTATAAATGATGTTATTATTTATATAATTTGTTCTAAATGATGTTTGTATTAGTGTCAATTCAATTAATTGATTGTAATTATTTAAATCATTTATTATTAAATGATGTAAAATTAATATCAATTTCTAGAAATGATGTGAATAGTTGTATCATTTACAACAAGTGATTAAAATGTTAATATCGTTTGTACATAACTGATCTTAAACTTATATCAATTTCAAAAATGATTTTAATATTTTTATCATTTATAGAAACCGATCTAAACTATTGTTATCACTTTTGAATAAATGATGTTAAATATATATCAATTTTAATAAATGATTCTAATATTATTTTAATTAAATATTTATAATATATATTAATATAAACGATTTTTTAATAATTTAATATATATATAAAAAATAAAAAAATTAGCTAAAACAAAACTAAATTAATAATTAATGTACTAGAAAGCAAATTACATAGTAGTTCCTTCATGCAAATTCATAAAACATAAAAAGTTCAAAGTTGCTGAAAATATTGTTAAACAAATACTAGCTACCACATCCTCCTACCATTTGAATATTTCTCAGTCACTCTTTTTCCTGAGATAAAATTATATAAAAAATACATTAATCATATGAGAATTATTGATTATAATGAAAATATAAATATAATTTACCTGATTTGGATTAGATGGACTTGGTATGCTGACAAAAGTTGGATTTGGTATGTCAGCAAAGGCAACAGCAAAACTTGCAGCCCATGTTCGTGCCTAAATATTTAGTTCAATTAATGTATTAGTTTTATAAACCAAAGTATAAAAATATAATTTAACTTATAAACAAGATTATTACCTGTTCACCAGTTGAAGTACCAATTATTTGTTGGATGAATGTAGTCATTCCTTTAACTTGATCTGATAACTCTTTCACTTGTGTCTTCAGCTCAACAACCATTTCTGAATTTTCTATATCTGATCTAGCTGCAGTCGAGCGGCACACTAATTTTGAAGGTGTAGGTCCACGACCAACACATCTTACTCGTCCTGGACGCTCTGGACCAAAAACTTGTGCATATTCATCATCCAAACTAGCTGTAACATTGTTTGTAATGTGCTGATTTTGCTGCAACAATGTAGTGAGTGCTTCCTAACAAAAAAAATAAAAATATTTACCAGTATAATTAACTCATCAATAAATGATAATTTTTTTAAATAATACTAACCGCTCGTTCTTTTGCTTCTTCACATACAAAGCTTCCATTCGGTTTTGTGCGAGTCTCAATGAAAAACTCTGCTCGACGTGGTGTTTTTCCAGTTTTGATTTTCTTTGTAAAAATACATACATAATAATATACAATATCAGTATACTAAACTAGCTTTATATTAAAACTAAATTTACTTACAATCTCATTTCTTCTTCTTGAAAAACTCTTTCTTCCACATACATGAGGCATGGTATGTTTTTTTTGGTTTTGTGTATTCCGCTCCTGCATTTTCTGAAATACATATATAAAAGGTTATTTATATTTGATATATAAATAATATAAATATAAACAAGTAAACCGTACCTTCCACTTTTCAGTAAATCTCATGTGGACGAAATGACCCCATTGATTTTCTGGAACCTTCTTTGGTCGATTTAGTAATGTCTCAGTTGGAGTATTTTGCTTATATTCTTTCCAAAGACGTAGTTTGACATCCTTACATCTGCTACCTAATGCACCCATCACAAATGTTTTTTCTCATTTGTGGATCATCAAACCTGAATTTGGACTAAAATAATAAACATACAATGAATCATCAGCTCAAAATAATATCTTAAAATATCTTAAGAATAAAAAAATTGATAGAGATGAATTTTGTGTTACCTGAATTACTTCCCATGCCTTGTTCTTAATGTGAGGGTTAACCATCCTCCAATCACTATAGTTAATGGGTAGCAAATTCACATCATTGCTTAATTGACCTAACCATGATCCTAGTAGACCTCCTGACTCTCCTATTGGTTGTCCGCTATCTTCATCAAAGTGCACAATCACTTTACTGTTTTGAAATTTCCAGACATCTTTAGATGTTACCATTTTTCCTTCAATATTTCCTTCATTATCTTGTTCATCAAAAAAAAAATAATATACAAAAAATTCAAATTAGCATATAACATATATCTCAGTTCTAACCATTCGAACAAGAGAAAGTAGATTATCTACACAAGACATAACGCAAAATATAAATATTGATTTTATCCTTCAATGTTAATAAGTACTAAGAAGTATATTCTCCTTTTGATCAAGTTCATTGAGCACAAATACAAAAAAATTTCAATAAAATAAATCTTCTTTCATCACATAAGACAAACATGTTTGACTAAAATTAACGGTGGACAAATAATTATGTACAGCAATATGATAAGATCAGACTTTATCATCCTACTCATTTTAAAGTATCTACATACTTAACGTTTTTTCTAAAAACAAATTTCTAAATAAATTAAAGAGAAAGTTTTAGTTTATATTACCTATGACTTCTACTTTCCACTTAAAGCTTTTGCATTCAGGAGCAAGTGCAGGAGGTGTATCATAATCTGTTTCCCAAAATGGTGAATCATCTGGTTCTTGTGTCTCTGAATCCATGATCCTAAAATAATTAAAATAAATGAATTTGTGAATATATTATTCCTTTCTCATCTGTGTAATGTGAAGAAAACAGTTAAATTCCAAAACAATTTGAGAGTACGTTACCTTGATCCTATGCTGTTTTATCAACCTTCACTCTTTGATGGTCACAAGCGGTTTCTTCTGGAGATGTGAGAGAGTGTTTAGAAACCCAGAATCCAACAATTTAATTAGTTGTGGTTATCGCGCGATGCCAAAATATTTTCTTTTGTGATCATGTATACGTGTGACCGTAAAATTAGTTAGGATGCTAATTAAAATAAAAATATCGAAACACAAAATCAATTCCCGCTTTCGATTATAAATTAAGCGGGGTGTAGATTTTTTCACTTATTTTTAGATTTGTTAGTTTGTGTGTTGGTTATGTACGTACGTATAACACGTAAAATTAGTTAAGATTACAAAATCGTATTGGACATGCATCCTACATATTTGCAATGCTTTAGTCACACATATATATATATTGGTTTTTACCTTTAAAATAACTAGCTAGCTATGTAACTAAAATGTACTACCTTAACATTTTGAAATTTGTCTCTACATATATATATATATATTTTTTTCTTTTGATAAGGATGTGAATTTCATTTATCAAATGAGAGTGATTGTACTGGTACAAACGTTTAAAAGGTGAAGCAATCCCAAGCCAAAAAAAATAAAAACAGAGGAGAGCGCTTAAGTAAGACTAAAGATAGTGGTCAACTCGCAGACTTGTAAAAGCCTGTAAATCACAGCTTGAACTGTTAGTTTGCGCAGAGCAGAAGGATAGTGGTCAACTCATCATAGACTTGTTTCTACATATTCTCTTCTCTTTTTCTTTTTTTTTCCCTTTGATCTTTCTCTTATCTCTTCATTGATCACTCGTTTTGTGTTTTGACGTCATGATCTCGTTTCGTCTATAATTGTGAACCCTCACCGAAGTCTTAATACTTCAGTTTGGTGTTTAGTATTTTCGTCAAACATGTACGTGGTGGCACCGCAGTGATATAGGGTCTGATTGCACCGGCCGGAGCTCGTAGATACTCGCATTTGTAGTGGTCCGGCTGACCCTTCTGACGAAGAATGCTCTGTTTATGCTATCAAACAATCTCTCTGAGATTGCAAACTATGTAGGATGATTAAGTTTCAGTTTTATGGAAAGGTTTGATCCAAAAAAAAAGGTCAAAAGAAAATGAATCTTAAAGATGAAACTCAGATAAAAGACATTGATATTAACATTCTCGTACACAAACAAAGATAAGGAATGTGTAAATAAAACCAAAACATAGTGTGAAGATGAGAGTACTTTCAATACACGTCTTCTATAAACTCTTCTATTTGTCCTCTCCCTCGGAAATATTCCACCGTTCGTATAATAATGAATCCTAGAGATGAAACTGAGAGAAATTGATATTAACATACTCACACACAAACAAAGATATAATCACAACTGGTAATCGACATTAAACCTGGTGAAAGATAACAAAAGTACAGAGACGACGTATAAAAGACAACTGGTTCAGATTCAACTTATTATTTAAGAAAAAAACTCTTGACAATAAGAAAAGCAAAGTAGTCTAGTCTTTATTCTGAAGAAGAAAACACATAACGGTATAAATATCTTTTGTCCCAAAGAAACAGTAGGATGAGATTCATCTTCCAACTAATCTGAATCATTTGAATCACCCATGTCATATGTATCTCTAGGCTGAACATGAACAGCAATATTCCATTCTATTTGAGAAGGATCTTTCACATAATATACCATTCTTGCTTGGGATGCCAGTATGTATGGTTCGTCCTGTTCATCCCCAATGGATAAGTGCCGTGAAAAAATTACCATATGATGACCATATGCATCCATTTTATATCCTCGTTCTGTACGAGTGTCCGCCCACTTACACTTAAATAACACAACTTTGAAAACTTCATAGTAGTTTAGCTCCAAAACTTCAATTAGGTTGCCATAGTAAGAAACAGTTCCTGTTCTTGGATTAGAATCACGAGAACTAGCATAGCTCATAGTCTCAGCAGCCACATACACACCACTATTTTGTGTTGTTAGGTTAGCTTCTCTTTCTGCTGTCCGAAATTTGGAACCATTGACATTGTAAGCTGTATACTTTAAAGCTTTTTCAGATGGACCCAAAGCTAAGCATCGTAAATCATCAGTTATCCCCTCTAACTCATTGTTCTCTACTTTCTGTTTGATCCATTTTGCAAAGTTAAGATGCACTTCTCGGTCAATGTCGATAGCACGACACCTCTTGCTCTGATGAGACTGCTTCGTCAACAACTCATTTTTATACTTCCTAAAAAGACAATTAACATAAATTTTACATTAGAGACCTTTAGGTAATCCACTTAAAATAATTGTTCTTGAACGATAGACACTTACTCTCTTAAGTGATCAAGTAGTTGACAATTGACCAATATATGTCGATGTGCTTGTTGTCTCTCTACATGATTAAGAGTATGAACATGACCGGCTCCAACAAATCTTCCATGGTTTGGGAAAATAAGTGGAAGTTCTGAATTTGGTCTTATGCTAGTCTCAGCTAGAGGTCGATCAACTACACGTCCAGTCCGAGTAAATCGTGTCTCTATATCATTGAGATACATTGAGCAGAATGTTACACACTCATCAGCTAGATATTGTTCACATATAGAACCTTCAGGCTTAGCGCGATTCCTCACATATGATTTGAAGTGTCCTAGAGTCCTGTAAATAACTGAATCAAGTAAGTTTTCAATTGTGTGTATATATATATACAAACATAAAATGAAAAATTATACCTCTCAATCGGATACATCCACTGAAAAGGAACTGGTCCACCGAATTTCGCCTCTTCTGTGAGATGTACTATTAAATGTACCATTACTGTGAAAAATGATGGAGGAAAAAACATCTCCATACGACATAAAGTCACCACAAGACGGTCTTGTAATCTATCAAGCTCATCGATAACCAAGACCTTTGCAGTTATATATCTAAAAAACTGACAAAGCTCGACAATGGCTGATGACACATCTGCTGGGAGGAGATTCCGAATTGCAACTGAAAATAAGTCTCTCATTATCACGTGACAGTCGTGGCTTTTTAAGCCTGATAGCTTTCGACCATTAACATCAACACAACTTGCTATGTTAGAAGCATAACCATCTGGTAGTTTTACATTCTTTAAGACACTTAAGAAAGTGTCTTTCCCATGGCTGTCAAGAGAAAAACATGCAGTTTGATACTTCTCATTATCATTAGGCCACAAATCAGAACGTATACCTAACTCCTGAAGATCTTTTCTAGCACTCAGATTATCTTTTGATTTTTTTTTGTCACCCAACAATGTGTAGGCTAGATTATCAAACACATTCTTCTCTATGTGCATGACATCCAAATTGTGTCGCAGCATTGTAAATTCCCAGTAAGGCAGCTCAAAAAATATACTTTTTTTCTTCCATTGCTGAGTACTAGATCTTCCACTGTCACTTCGATCTCTCTTTCTTCCAACTCCCACTAAAACATTCTTCTTACCAAGAGTAACATTAACTTCTTGCAATTGATGAATAATTGTAGAACCTGTCAATGTGGCTGGTGGAGCTCTGGTTTCTATTTTTCCGTCAAAATGTTCTCTATTCTGACGAAAGGCATGATCTAGTTGAAGAAAACGCCGATGACCAATAAAACAATTCTTTTTTCCATGGAGTAAACGTTTCCCGATGCCATCATAGTTACAGGTTGGACAAGCTGATGATGTATATATATTCCAACCCGACAAATTTCCTAAACCAGGAAAATCGCTAATTGTCCACATGATAGCTGCTCGCATGTTAAATGTTTGTTTTGTGGAAGCATCTAGTGTTTCAATCCCCTCAAACCATAACTCCTTCAACTCTTTGATAAGTGGCTGCAAGTAGACATCAATATTATTTCCAGACATCTGTTTTCCAGGGATAACCATAGAAAGGATCATTGACGTCTGCTTCATTGACATCCATGGTGGAAAGTTATAAGGAAATAACATCACTGACCATATGCTATAACTACTACTCATTGTACCAAATGGGTTAAAACCATCAGTAGCCAATCCTAACCTGACATTTCTTGGATCAGATGCAAATTCAGGATATTTTTGATCAAATTCCTTCCAAGCCCTCCCGTCTCTTGGATGGCGAAGCTTACCATCATTGTTACTAGCAGATGCATGCCATTTCATGTGAGTAGCAGTTTTTGATGACATGAATAAACGCTGTAGCCGTGGCTTCAAAGGAAAATAACGCAAAATTTTGGCAGGAGCTTTACTTTTTTGCTGCTCTGATCCAGATATAGTGCTCTCTGTAGAATTATTGTTTTTCCAACGAGAGGTTTCACAAACTTTGCATTTTTCCCTTTATGCATCAGCCTCCCAATATAACATGCAATCATTTGGACATGCATGAATTGATTCATAAGTCATTCCTAGTTTGCGAATAACCTTTTTCATGTCATTGAATGAATCTGGCAATTTGGCATGGGTAAAAGCTTCTTTCATCAGATCAAGCACCATGGATATCCCCTTGTCACTGATCCCACACATACATTTGATATGGTGCAACTTCAGTATAAAAGACAATTTCGTGAACTTACTGCATCCTGGATAGAGCTCTTGAGTATACTCAGCAAACAACTCATCAAAACCTTCTCCTTTTCCATAATTTCCACTTGAAGTTGATGGTCTTTCAGTGTCCATAGGTTGCTCAGACGATCTAAATCCATGCTCAGCATGCATATTAGTACTGATATCAGGAAAAATGTCATCTAAAAGATTCAATGTTGAATCTAATTCAACATGAGCAACATCAGAAGGTGCTTGTGCATTCCCTGTGACACATGCATCCTCTCCGTGTAATATCCAACTCGTGTAAGAATTTAAAAAACCAAAGCATATCAGATCACCTTCGATTTCTTCTCTTGTTTTAGATTTGGCTAGAGTGCAACGATT